TAATCACTTTCTAAAGCAACAATGTAAGAGAAGGTTAGAGAGACATACAAGGGTCACAGACACTAGGAGATTTGTGAAAAATGTCTTAAAACCTCATGAAAGTGCAGTAGGCACTGGGAGGAGGAAAATTACTTCTGGCTAAGTTGTGTGGGGAAGTTGTGCATAGCTGACTGTGTTTGAAGTGAAGCATGAAAGCTAGCTAGCTAGATGAAGATTGGAAGAGATGTGCATTACAGATTGAAGGAAGACTATAAACAAAAATGGTATCAAGTTTTTAACAACATCCAAAAATTAATTGCACAGGACAGAGATTGCCCCCACCACTGAGTGGTGGTATCAGAATCTCTAGCAGGTGCTGGAGTTTATTTCAAACTGCATAGAACCCATCTGGAGATTCTGATGTCCACTCTTAGTGGTTGTGCTCCCCTTTCCACCTGATTTCTGGCTTAAGGAGAGTTGCTGCTGATGGGATTGTGTTTCATAAGTGAACAATGTGGAGGTAGCTAGTCTTTCCAATTTCCAAAGTGTTGTGTAGTGAAGTTCTTTAAAGAAGCTGAAAAGTAGAGAGGTGGTGAAAATAGTGCTTGAGAGAGAGCTCAAGAATTTGAAAATTAAACTAAGGACTTTTAAAAAAAGTTTTGACTGGAAAAAATGATGCAATCAGAACATTGCTTTAGGAAAATTAACGGTGGCTGTTGTGGAAGATGGATTGAACACAGAAAAATAAGCTATTGGAATAGTTCAGGCAAGGATATTAAGGGGTGATATTCAGGCAGTGTGGTGGTAATGAAAGGAGAAGGGAGGATGCATAGGAGAGGCTTCAGCGGGAAAGTTAAAAGACTGGTCTGATGGGATAATGGGTATGTAGGAGGCATGAAAAATTCCACCAACGTTTTGAGTCTGCTTTTATGAAAGAATGGAGGCTGGTGAAATGTGGGGCAAAAGAAATGTTTGGTTTAGACATTTGAGATTGAGATGCTTATAGATTATCAAGAGATAATGCTAAGTAGGCTTTGGACACATAGAACTGTAGATTAAGGTAAAGAGGAAAGCTTAGAAGTTTTATTACCATTAAAAAAAAAAAAGAGTTAGTGAACCTGACCCCAGAAGTGTATAGACAGCGAAAAGTTTAAGAACTAAACTCCAGTGAAGGTCTTGTTCAGTAAGCAAGAAGAGAAAGAGAAAGATTTTTTTTTTTTTTTTTTTTTTTGAGACGTAGTTTCGCTCTTGTT